CTCAAGCCCAGATCTGGGTTTTTCTCAAACCCAAATCTGGCATTTTAGCAACCTCGCTCACCTTGTCCATCTTGGACGCGCTCGTGGCACTGCTACTCCCCCGTGTTCGAGGTGAAGAAACTGGGTTTGATAGAAGAAGAAGAAGGCCGACCGCAGTAGTAGCAGAAGGACCAGATCTGGGTTTGCAGTTTAAATTAAATCAAAATAAACCGGCTCAACTCAGTTAAAATTCGTTCAAATCAGCACAAAGAAGATCCAAAAGTCAATCAAAAACATCCAATACAAATTAGAGCAAAAACACACCTTATTCTCTACCAGCTATCAAGAAAGATATGTTCACATCGACTTCAGATCCAAAAAGGCAAAAACACGACAAACCCAGACCATATACAAGCACTAATACTTCAAGAATCTAGCATTAGATAAGCATATCAACAGTGCATACAAAGAACAGTTCAATCAATCAATTAACACTATTGTAAAAGCGAGGCGCCGAATCTAGAGATGAGAAGCCGGCGGGCCTCCTTCCATCGGACGACGGAGGGGTCGAGTCCTCGTACTTCCGCTTGTTGCTGCCTACATTTGGACCTGATGACCTATCATCAAGTCATCTTCTCGGGCCTATCATCTTCTCGGGACAGTCTAGGTTTGAGAAAAACCCAGATCTGGGTTTGAGAGAAGAAGAAGAAGGTCGACGGTGGCTTGCTATCGTCGACAGCCGTCATTGTGGGTGAAAGTTGAGGTCTTCGGCTCGAGAGAGGGGAAATGAGACATGAGGGTGACGAGGTTCTAGTGGATCAGCCATTTAGTGTCCTTGACATAGGGGAGAGTTGAAGGCCCTTGCTGCGAGAGAACCAAGCTGAGGAACTGCTGGATCTGTTGGGGGTTGGGAGAAGTCGCCGGCGGCGGTACCATCGGTGTTTCGATCAAGTCAAAGATGAAAATCAAGAAGAGATCGACTGGATGGGTTTCTCAAAGAGGAAGAAGAAATCTGACGTGACGTGGGTGAAAAAAAAAAGAATTTTTATTTTTAAATTAAATGAAAATGCCAACTCATATAAAAAAAATGCCAACTATGTTTTTTTTTTCCATGTCATTAGTTAAGAAAAAAATAGAATTGATTTGTTGGCATTTTAACGTGCCACCTGTTATTTAACTGACGGAAGGATCATTTTGGTACCGAAAATGAAAGTTTGAGGATAATTTTGGTACTTTTTAAAGTTGAGGGATAATTTTGGTACCAAAGTGAAAAATTGAGGGACCAAAATGGTACTTAAACCCACAAAAAAGTACACTAATGTACCCAACCACCACATAATCTCTTAAATTGCTAATAGATATAGGGTTTATTTAACCTACTTGTCTCTTAATGACAGAGGTTAAATGTATATTAATATATATTTTTATTATAAATTTATATTAAAATATAAAAATTAA